GAGAGAGAGAGAGAGAGAGAGAGAGAGAGAGAGAGAGAGAGAGAGAGAGAGAGAGATGTATCATGTCTGCATTCGCAGGTTTGTGCCTTTCCCTCAACTAGCCATCAGTTTGCATGCAAGGACAGATGAGAGACCAGAATATGTCCTGGCTTGTGATTTCCAAACGCAGTAAAGATTGTGAAAACGCTGGACAGAAGAAAACGATTAGGGTGAAAGAGTAGGTTAAACTTTCCCCGTTGTGGAACCGAAAGAGTGGGACGGCAGGTTCACAGTTCGCAATCCAGAGATCAGGCAAGGTCCACTTGATTCCTCACCATAGATCTACAATACCTCTGGTCAGAGATGACAGTCTCGGCTTTCTCGGAGATAAACAGTCAGAAATGGGTACCTGGTGTTGGAGCACCTCACTGACAAAGGGACACATGCCCTTGTTGAATTACCGGCGGTGGTAGAAAGCGACGGGGGAGGAGAGAGGGAACCAGGGGGGTATTTGTGTTCTAGGGGTGAGGTAATTGTGACCCTTGTCCTCTTGCTCTGGCCATGGCTCTTCCAACTCGATGGCTAGAAGTGGGTATACGCGCTGAAACTCAGCTTTGCATCAACAGCTTGGACTAGCTGTCAGTTTCCTGATGAGTCGGTGAGACTCCGACGAAACAGTTTGTCACAGCCCCTCCTTTGTTGTCCTCTTCTCCATCTCTCAATCTACGGTTTACCCCCGCAGCTCTGTTTGATAATATATATACACATACAAAATTAATATAAATCATATATATATATATATCGTCACAAATGTATATATATATATGTGTGTGTGTGTTGAGTGTGTGCACATATGCACGCCATGGCACGATTCACTATACCAGGTATGATCTCCCGTGACGAATCACGGGCACACCTCTAGCCTAGGTAACTGTTGCAAGTATGGTAGATTCCATCTGCTGAGGCGAGAACGGCATCTACTCATGTTTTTGAGTACTTTCAGGCAAGGCGGGTAGGGCGAGCGGACAAACCACATGCCAGCAAAACAGCCAACCAAACTAAAAAAGGAAAAAGAAAAAGGGGGTGCCAAGGCCTGGAGGGTCGGGGGAGAATTGCGCACCGACCCATTACCCTCTCGCTGGTGAGACTGCGAGCAGACAGCCCGCAAGCAAACTAACAAGAAGACCACACCCCAGCAGGCCAAACAAACACACCAAAATAACACATCCAAACAGGATGCCACGGGCATGGGGCCGAGCATCCTCCGCTCCGACTCGTCAGACTTTTCTCGATGAGACTGCGGGCAGACCAACACGCAAATTAGCTAACAGGAAGACCACATTCAATCGAAAATTATCTAATTGTAATTTGAATAATAAGAGGAATCGAATTGTCTTGTAAGTCAAAGCACACACTAAACAAAACAGGCAAACCAAAAAACATGACCAACATGGGTGCCAGGGCCAGGAAGGCAGAAACACCTTGCACACCGCCTCACCAGCCTTCTACTGATGGGACCGCAGGCCGGAGCAACCTCACACAAGCATATCAAACAGACAGCCTTGAAAAAAAACAACAACAGATACCGAGGCCAAGCAGGCCAGGGCATACTTGTGCATAGGCTCATTTGCCTCTAGCTGATGAGACTGCGGTTGGACTACACCTAAAGAGACCAGACTGGCAGACCAATCTTAAAACATTAACTGAAAAAAATAGAAGTTGATGATGATTGTTTCGTCGGAATTGCACCGACTCATCAGGAGGCTGAACCCTCAACAATCTGCGGCATCCCCAGTTTTGGATGCGCTAGGTCATGAAACC